ACACTATATTGTTAGTATATTATTTGGCTGATTTCTGCCAACAACTGATTGTAATAAAATTACTTGCATAACTGAAAAGAGATGATTCTATTGGTATTAGTGGGTTTTCTTTGTATAGGTCCTAATCAAACAGGAAATTCAGAGGAAGAGTGGATATGCCATCCAAGCTGATGAAGAGCAGTTGCGAGTTCAGCTAGATACAATTCAGTGTGAACTAAATGCACCTACTCAGTTTAAGGTAAGCACTTATACAACTACTAGAGGCCCCGTGCACGAAATTCGTGCACGGGGGGAGTGGGGGGATTCCCTCAGCCCGGCCTGCACCCTCTCCCAATCCGGGACCCCTCTCGCAATCCAGGACCCCTGGCTCCTAACCACTCGACTGCCTGATCGCCCCTAACCACTCTGCCTGCCTGTCTGATCGCCCCTAACTGCTCACCTGCCTGCCTGATCGCCCCTAACCGCCTCTGCCTTGGCCCCTGCTGCCAAGGCTTCGTCTGGAAGGATGTCCAGAATGACATCTGGAAGGTCGTTTGGCTGTCCAGTCTAATAAGCATATTATGCTTTTATTATCCTATATAATAAAGAGCTAATATGCAAATGGTTGTCATGCCTCACGCCAGGGCTGGGGGACCTGAGGCCGCACCCCGTCCCCTGGCGCCGGGGGTCCTGAGGCTGCGCTCCCCTCCCTGCAGGGCTTGATGGGGGTGGGGCTGGCTGGGGCTGGGTCTCACGTGATTTCGAGGCACATGCGGGTGGGCAGGGACTTGACTCTGGATCCTGCAGTGCACCCCAGACTCTGACAGGAGGGAGATTTTCATATATATTTTACTAATTTTCTTTCATCTCTGACACTTCTATTATAAAGAAAGGGCAAATAGCAATATTAAAATATTTCCTCTAATTCCCTTTTAATGTGCACAAATTTTGGGAACCGGGCCACTAATTATAAAGGTAGAATTTGTTTCAAGTGGATCTACAGAAAAATACTATTGGTCTTCAAAAATAGGACTTTTGTATGCTTGTTTTTTTTAACAGTATTTGTTCTCTTTAATCAAAACTTTCTTTCTAAAGTAGACTCTTAATCATGGTGTTTTTGGCTTGTGTTAACATTTCAAATAGTGTACAGAGGAAAATTAGACACCTTTAATAGAGTAGTAACCATCCTTTTAAAAGGAAACATTCTCTTTTAAAAGCAGCTGCTGCTGTTAGCAGTTTAATTTGACTTAAGTCTTATTTTTAGGGCCGACTAAATGAACTGATGTCCCAAATCAGGATGCAGAATCATTTTGGAGCAGTCAAATCTGAGGAAAGATATTACATAGATGCAGATCTGTTACGAGAAATCAAGCAGGTAAGTGTCACATTAGTGTGCACTTTTCTTTTTTAATCCTCACCTAAGGATATGCTTATTGGTTTTAGAAAGAGGGTAAGGGAGAGTATGAGAGAGAACATTGATTGGTTGTGGTTGTCTTCTGTATGCGCCTGACAGGATTAAACCTGCAACCTAGGTATGTGCCCTGACTGGGAATCAAACCTGAGACCTTCCTGTGCAATTCATGGGATGATGCTCCAAACAACTGAGCCACACCGACCAGGGCTAGTGTGTACTTTTTAAAAAGGTGATCAGTCACTACTTCATATCCATTGAGGTGGCTATTATTAAAAAACAAAATAAAAACAACACAGAAATTAGTGTTGATAAGGATGTAAAGTAAGTGAAAAACTTGTGCATTGCTGGTGGCAATGTAAAATGATACAACCACTGTAAAAAAACAGTTCCTTAAAAAATTAAACATGGAATTACCATATGATCCAGCAATTCTCCTTTTGGGTGTAAACCTTAAAGAATTGAAACCAGAAACTTAAATATATGTATACTCATGTTCACAGTAGCATTAGTCACTGTAGCCAAAATGTGAAAGCAGCCCAAGTGTCCATAGATGGATGAATAGTTAAAATGTGGTATATACATACAGTGGAATATTCAACCTTTAAAAAAGGACACTACAAATAGATCAACCTTGAAGATATTATGCCAAGTGAAATAAGCCAGTTTAAAAGGACAAATATTTTATGATTCTACTTCAGTGAAGTACCTAGAGTACTCCATCCAATTCATTAGAGTAGAATGCTGGTTGACAGGGGCTCAGAGAGGGGAAATGGGGAATTAGTGTTTATTAATAGGTACAGAATTTCAGAAAAAGTTCTAGAGGTAGATGGTAGTGATTGTTTCATAATGTGAATGCTACTGAATTGTTACTTAAAAATGGTTAAAACGGGCATATTTTTGTTATGTATATTTTACCATAATAAAAATTAAGTAAATCATTCACTTCCCCAACCCCCCAAAAAATGAACAAGAGGTAATAGAGGCACCAAAGTTCCCTAGACCCTGCTACTCAATGTGTTGGCAGCAGCAGCATCTGGGAGGTTATTAAAAATACAGAATCTGTCCTTAATGCCAGACCTACTTAATACATTAAATGTATTTGTATATACATTAAAGTTTAAGAAATAACTGCTCTGTATCATACCTTCCCAACCTGTATGCCACATAGAAAATATAAATATGTAGAGTTATTGATCCCCTCAGCCTTCAAGGATCCTCAGTGAAGGTTGGGGTGGCCAGGACCTCCATTTACCTAAGGCTTACATTGTATGAACAAGTTGAAAAGTACTGTTCTAGCTTATTTTCATTATAAATACAGATTGATTTAATGAAAACTGTCCAACCATTGACTGTCTAAAGAAAATGTATTCAGGCGGTAAACTTTGTGAAAAACTATGTAAGACTGTTAGCATGGCCCAGAGGATTTTAGATGTTTTTAAATGTCATCAACAATTCTGATTTTATTATGTGCTTTAGGATGGATATTTCCATTTTATGCAATTAAAAACTAGTTTGGTTCCTAGGTTCCTGGACAGTGTGCATACATTTTAGTTATATTCCATTGTAAATATTTGCAATAAAATTAACTGAAAGATTCTAGCATATTCGAATAAAGAACTATATTAAAGAGTTTATGCAATAAAACGGGGAATAATACAACCACCTACCTAAAATGATGAAAGCAGTATATTGTTTTGGGATTGAATTATGATTCATCACTACTTCATGACCTTGAGCAGGTTACTTCCCTGCACCTCATTTTCTTTATTTGCAGAGAAGAGTAATAATTGTACCCGAAAAAGTGCTCAGAAAGATTTTAAATGACTTAATACTTATGAAACTCTTCAAATTGCCTTAACCACTTAGGAAAGACTCTTAAAAACGTTAGCAATTGTAGTTATCACCATTATCATCACTATATACTTTGTACTAAAAAAAGTGAAAATTCTCAATTTTCAGAATGATTACTTTATTAGTCATCTATATTTGAGTACCTTGTATTGTTTTAATATCATACGTTTTATCAAAGGTTGCTAAAAAGAATCTAAAAAAAATCTGCTTCTGTAATATTTCTGAAGATATTGTTCATTACATGTTTGACTTTGTTTACAGTATGTATTTTATTGTAGATCATATAAAAAATATTAGCAAAAGATAAATGTGCATGCCCACTATATTTAGAGCATCTACAGAGTGCTGTATTGCTAGTAAAATCATCCTTTTTCCTGTGAGTAGCTTGCAGTTTAATAAAGTAATGTATTAATATTTTCCTTAATTTCTTCTAGCATTTGAAACAACAACAAGAAGGCCTTAGCCACTTGATTAGCATCATAAAAGATGATCTAGAAGATATAAAGTTAGTAGAACATGGATTGAATGAAACCATCCACATCAGAGGTGGTGTATTTAGTTGACAGATCACAAACTTGTGTTAAAGGTTTATGAACTATATCTTCTTGCTACATCAGGCCTTCCCTAAGAATGAAACTGACCACATGGAGGAAACGGAAAGAAAATTCTCTGCTGGCTTGGTTTTTGAGAAGGTTACTGACAAATTATAATTCTTCAGATTTGAAATAAGTCACTTCACAGCTCTTCAAGGACAGCCTTCGGAAGATTTAAATCTAAAAGCTGTTACTTACTTTAAGAAGTACATAATTACCAAAAACGTACTATTGTACATTTTTACAACAGCATTTTTCTTAAAAATAATCAGTGTTTAATGATTATTCTCCATTCAGCCTGTACTCTACTTTCCATAGCAAGTAAATATGCAATATCTACTTTGCACATAAAATGTATGACTACTTGGCTGTTGGAGATTAGTACTTCAGAAAATAAATGTACATCAGTTTTTATATTTGTGAATTCATCTGTAGAAGGAGTAAAGAAAATCCAAGAGTATTTAATGATTAATGTGGTTTTCATTTCATTCTATAAAGATTTGAAAATATATTTTTATATTATTTTGCTTATTTGAAATTTACAGAACACCTACGCAATTAGGATATAAAAAAATTACATTTTATCATTTTTGCAACTTTTGTTTCTTTAAACATTTTTATTTCTAAAAATGATGAAAACAAATAAATTCTTGATTGTAATTACTTTTCTATAATTCTGTTTGGTGCTTTATTTAGCTCTGGGAGAATGACCATTCATGTCTATTCAAAAATTTTAGTCTTTGCTTGTTTTAAAGTCTGATTTTTCCCTCCTAAGAAAAATATATCACTGCTGCTTATTTGACTTGGCAAAAAAACTTCAGCTATCATTTAGGATACAGAATTACCTAACATATTAGTATCTAAAAATCCTAGAAAATGTGAATTAAACATCATAATGTGAAACAGTGAATCTTTCATTACCAGGTAACTTTAAACAATTTTTCTTACTACAAATTGCATACCTGGCTGCATCATGTTGGCCCCCTCTTGGAAATGCTTTAACTTTCTTCATTTCTGTGTGATCCTTTGGTATGAATCTTGCCATTGTGTTTGTTACAGGGATAGTGAGGAATGTATACCAAGAAGCCATCCTCTGAAATCCCACTATAGGAATTTCAGTCCAGCTGCAGATTAGGGTAACAATTGTATAGGAGACTGAGAACTTTAAAACTGATTGTTTTATTTCCAAGTTAGTTACTAGTAGTCTGCAGCCACTTTGCCAAGATTATGGCATGCAAACTTGTTACACTCTATATACCACCCTCTTTCATCATACTTTCCTAACTTGTTGTTACAATCCAACGTTAGGAAATAAATTTTTTTCTCCTTGGACCAGAAGATAGGTACTTCCATCCTTCTCGTCCACGTAGCCACATCCTCCTCATTAGAAGGTATCTGTCCCTTTGCACACCCTCTTACTGAAGGAAGAGTTGTTGATCTGATGAGAATTGTTCCTCATTGAGCCACATTCCATGAAGAACAAATCACTACTCACACACACCAAGCTCACTTCTCTAGTCTTTCATTTTTTTCGTGTTCTGATAGTTAGGTTCCTAATTTTGCAAGATCAATACCCCTAGATGGGCCTAGAGCCTGCCTTTTAAAGACAGACACACACTCAAAGGCAGTTGACTTACTGGTGACATGCATGTGTAAGGCTGACCTGTGGTCCTTGTTCATGTAGCTGGTTAGATATGACTTGATCTGTACATAACCAAGTTCTAGATTTAGGTGAATAGGAGACAAGGCCCACTTTGGCCTCTGCTTGAAGTGTTTTCTAACGCAATTTACAGAAGTTCTGTGTTTAGTCTGCAACTGACTAATGGTTCTTGTGGGTAGACTAAAAATTCTGAACAGGAAGAGAGTTACATGGTGGAATTAAAGCACATTGAACCCCTAACAGTTTAAATTTTATGTAGTGTTTTTTTCTTTTGTATCTTTGAAATCCTTTTTGAAACATTGGCAACATGTAAATAACTGTCAGTTACCAAAGCCCCTGGCCTAAATCAGTCTCTAGTATACCACCACAATACCCTGAGGAAAATGGTAGTATACTGTATAACCTCATTTTCCTTTGCTTATTTAGCATACATAAAAAGTACTGTCTACCTTCCTGTTTTAATGAGATTCAAATTAGGCACTATGTATGTGAAATACTTGGTAAACTTGTGTTTACAGAAATATAAAGTTCATATTTTGGGGGATCATACTATTTGAAGTGAAAAGTCTAATCCTTTAAGGATGAGTAGAACATCTTTAAAATTCAGTTTTGCAACAGCATGATGACCTACAGTGCATTATGCTAAGTGAAATAAGTCAGAAAGGCATACCATCTGATTTTATGTAAGGGGCCAGGTGGATACTTGAATATGGAGGGGACCACTTTTTAAAGTATACTATTGTCTAACCACTATGCTGTACACCTGAAACGAATATACAGAATATTGAATATAAACTATAATTGAAAATAAGAAAAAATCCACCCCACACCCCTGAAAAAATTCTTATTGATTAAAATCATGTTAACCACTAACATTGGATATTTTAGTATTGGCAATTCTGAAATTATATCTAATAATCTTGTCTTTTATTGAATTCAACCAGAAATAAGGTTTTTGCAATAAGATTAATATACAAATAAGTGAAAATGATTCTACAACATAACTGGACAAACTTTCTGAATTTGAAAAGTGAATAACATATACAGTTCTCATTTTATCAACTGACTTTGGCCAACAAGTGAAAAATATAACATTCCTTTTGATCATTTCCTGTGGGATCCCTGTAGTGTACTTAACATAAAGAATATAGCTGACTAAAGACTAACAAAGAGATATATAGAAGCACTGATTAAAATGATGAATGCCCCAAACGATGGAAGGAGCATTTTGCCAGAGGATGCAGAGGGATGGGTTTTGGGACGTGGAACTGGAGCTGGAGCTGGAGCTGGAGCTGGAGCTGTTAACGAGAACACATAGTCATTGACACGTGTCATCAAGTTCACCCACCTATTCCATATATCCTGAATATGTAAACAGACATTCAAGTTGAGTTAGAAACTAACTTGAAATACTTCCAACCAGGAACAATTTTCAAATAAATATCACTCATTACAGATTTCAGGCTATATTTTCATATAAAGGGTGGGGCAAAAGTAGGTTTACAGTTGTACATACAGAATAATACCATAATATAATATTTATATAGACAAGATAATTTTTATTCAAGTTCTCTAGAATTAGCAATTTTTTCATTTTTTGCATACATAGGCAAGGTTAGGTTAATTTTGTGTCTTTTCTATTTCAAGTAAAGTATATTTTATATGCATATACTGACAGCTACCAATATAAAATTGAATAAAGCTGCATTTTAAAATACTAAGCCCTGCAAGCTCATTAAAAAATTAAAAATGCCCCCCTCATACATACCAGTACAGTTTTCTGCTTTGGAGAAAACTGCTTCCCGTTCATCTACACTAGTGGAGAGGAACAGTGGAGTCCACCCATCTCAGGATCTGTTTGATACTACCCTTAGCTCAGATACCTGACTTCTGGCTGTGTTTTGGCTTAGACTGTACAAGCGAGGATTGACTAGAAGTATCCAAATGGAATCACCACTCAGGTTTTGTAAGTGAGGCAAGAAACAGTAAATTTTATAAAAGCTTTCAACTCATTTTGTCAATTACCATAATTACAGACATGCAATTACATGTACACAGATTGCAGGCAGATGAATTCATGCATTAGTTTGTTACTATAGAGCAGTGGTTCTCAAGGGGGCAGCACTGCCCTCTAAGAGACAGTTAGAAATTTTTCAGGGTTTTTGTTTGTTTGTTTTTTAATGTTATTTATTTATTTCAGAGAGGAAGGAAGAGAGAGAGGGATAAAAACATCAATGATGAGAGAGAATCATTGATTTGCTTCCTGCATGCCCCCTACTGGGGATCAAGTCCAAAATCCAGGTATATGCCCCGATGGAAATAGAACCATGACCTCCTGGTTCATGGGTAGACTCTCAACCATTGAGCCACACTGGCTGGGCTGTCAGGATATTTTTTGATTGCCACAAGGGTGGAGTAGAAGTAAAGGGCTAGTTTTGCACCAAGAAAAATCGACCTATACAAATTTCAAATGCACTGCTAGAAATATACATTAGTTAAAAACCTATTTATAATTAATTAAAAACCTATTAGTTAAAAAACCAGAACTTAAAGTCAGTTTTACATATAAACAAAATATTTTTAGTTTTCATAAACAGATCTATCCAGGACCCACTGTATTTCTTCACTTTCATCTTCTTATAGTCACAGAGTAGCTTCAGTCTTCTCTTAAATCCAAATTTATTTGCATAAGGAAATACAATCATCTGTCTACTGCATAATGTCTTCTAATATAATCTAGGCATTTACATATTAAAATGCACATAATTTTGTTATAAATTATAGTTAGGATATTTTTTTAATGGGTAAAGGTAGGTCTCCTTATCTATGAATCTTATTTCAGGATAGTATAAGGGCTTTATAAAATATTTGTCAGAAAATGAGAGAATTGAGTTGACAAGGTTGAGAACAACTGCTGTAAACAATAGTCTCTATACATGGTAAAAACTGCTTGAGAATCGTCAAGGTGCCCCACCATATACACACACATAAGCATTTGGACATGACATTATATTGTTATGATGCCTTAAGTTCTTGAAACTGTCCCTTTAAGAAAAAAATAAATTTCTCACTTTTTCTGTATTGTAGATTAAACATTTATCAGCTAAGGAAATGAGATATTTCTTACTAGGATTGTTGATGTCTTCTTGACTTTTATATTCTAAAATATAAACAGATTTTGAGTTAATTGCATTGTAAACCTATTTATCCAGAGAGAAAAAGCTGATTAAATGATTAAGCAAACTTGCTTATTCCTGGGAATGGGCCTGAGGAGCAGGGTATTAGGTTTAGAGATTTGTGTGAGCCTGGGGGAAGGTTTTAATAGTTACTCACTTGCACTCTGGATTTTTTTTTTTTTTTTACCAAGGAAGTGTTTCCATTAAAAAAATGATTAAAATTTTGATTATAAAAAGTGCTTTTTTTAATATACTGAATTTCAATTCCCAAATGCAGTATTAATACTATATGTCACTCATTGTACAAACGCTTTATGTATATTGCCACCTTTATTTCTTATAGACCTAGAAGGTAGATATAGTTTTCCATGTTATACAGATGTTCCTCAAAACAAAATCAGAGGTAATCAGTGGTAGTAATTTCAAAGCCTCTACTCCTCTTTACTATGCTATACTACCTCTAAGTGTGTGCCTAGCACTTAAATATGAATATTGCCATATTCTGAAAACTTTGAAGCCAATTCTAGAAGCCCAGGATAGATGAATATTTTTTACTAGAGGCCCGGTGCACAAAAATTTGTGCACTCGGGGTGGGGGGGGTCCCCCAGCCTGGCCTGTGTCCTCTCACAGTCTGGGACCCCTCGGGAGATAACGACCTGCTGGCTTAGGCCTGCTCCCGGGTGGCAGAGGGCAGGCCCAATCCCTAAGTGCAGCCCCTGGTCAGGCTCAGAGCAGGGCCGATTGGGGAGTTGGGGTGCCGTCCCATCATGCACAGAGCAGGGCGGATCGGGAGGTTGCAATGCCACCCTCAGTCATGCTCAGGGTAGACTGACTGGGGGGTTGGGGCACCGCCCCGTTACACTCAAGGCAGGGTTGATGGGGAGGTTGCGGTGCCACCCCCTGTCACGCACAGAGCAGGGCCGATCAGGGGGTTGGGGCGCTGCCCCCTGTCACTCACAGAGCAGGGCCCATCAGGGGGTTGGGGCGCTGCTCCCTGTCACTCACAGAGCAGGGTCAATCAGGGGGTTGGGGAGCTCCCCCCTGTCATGCACAGAGCAGGGCCCATCAGGGGGTTGAGGAGCTCCCCCCTGTCACTCACAGAGTAAGGCCAATAGGGGAGCTGGGGCACCGCCCCCTGTCACACACAGAGCAGGGCGGATCAAGGGGTTGGGGCGCTGCACCCTGTCACACTCAGGGCAGGGCCAATGGGGAGGTTATGGCTCTACCCTGTCACACACAGAGCAAGGCCCGTGGAGGGGGGTTGGGGCACCACCCTCTATTACCCACAGAGCAGGGCCGATCAGGGGGTTGGGGCACCGCCACTGTCACACTCAGGGCAGGGCCGATGGAGAGGTTATGGTTCTACCCTGTCACACACAGAGCAGGGCCGATCAGGGGGTTGGTGCGCTGCACCCTGTCACCCACAGAGCCGCAGGGCAATCGGGGGATTGGGGAGCTCCCCCCCTATCAGGCACAGAGCAGGGCTGATCAGGGGGTTTGGGCGCTGCCCCCTGTCACGCTGATCCCAGTGCCGGGAGCCTCGCTGCTCCGCTGATCCCGGTGCCGGGAGGCATATTACCCTTTTACTATATAGGATAGAGGCCTGGTGCATGGGTGGGGGCTGGCTGGTTTGCCCTGAAGGGTGTCCTGGATCAGGGTGGGGGTCCCCACTGGGGTGCCTGGCCAGGCTGGCTGAGGGGCTGAGGGCTGTTTTCCCGCTGGCAGTTGACTAAAAGCTCCCAACCGCTCCTTGTTTTCTTTTTTTCTTTTTTTATTCTGGGCCAGCTTTAGCTCTGAGGCCTCGCTGCTGAAAACATCGATACAGTGTTGCGGTCTGGGGCTGACTGACAGCCGGTTTTGTTTAGCTTCTTATTTGCAACATAGTAATAGTTGCTTAGAGTTGCAGTTGAGAGTCCGGCAAGTGAGGCGGGGAACGTTGGAGTCTGCAGTCCCTGGAGGAAGCAAGCCTCATGTTCGCTTCCAGCTGCCTGGCTGCCAGCCGCCATCTTGGCTGACAGTTAATTTGCATAAGGATACGCTGATTAGCCAATGGGAAGGGTAGCGGTCGTACGCCAATTACCATGTTTCTCTTTTATTAGTGTAGATAACTAAATCTGGGTGAAAGACAAGTGTTGTGTGACAGAAAGTGAACAAAACTTGAAAAGTTTGAGTCCTGGTTGTCTCTACCCTTTAACAGATTCCTTAACCTTCCTATATCTCATGTCCTCATCTCTGAAATGGCAAAAACAGTATTTATCTTAGATTAAATGAGATTCAGTATAAAGGTTTTAACAACAAAAAAGCATGCACTACACACAGCTTTCCAGGAGAGGGCACAATACAAAACAATCCCTGCAAACCTATTCCTTGTAGACTGGCATGTCAGAAGCTATACAGCTCAGGTGTTCTCACAGTCTGGGACCCCTCGGGAGATAACGATTAACCTAACTAAATGCTTACAGTAAAGGACTCAAAACCCCTTTGCTCCACTCCCAATAAAAAATGTATTATTAGTTTTTATCTGGTTTTACCACTTTTATTCCTAAATGAGAAAAGATTTTCAGATAATAAAGACAGCTACCATTTACTACTATTTAAAACTATTCATTTGCCAGTACTTTGTCTCATTAGGACTTTAATCAATCCTGGGAGACAGAAGTTTTCTTCATTGTACCGATTGTGGCAGGAGAGGTGCAGAAAAGTGAAATTATATAAAGTTCCCTAGAAGAGACTTCTGGTCCAGATGGCAGCATAGGTAATAAACACAGTGCTTGAATCCTCCCACAACCACATCAAAATTAGGACAAAACTACAGAACAACCATTATTCAGAACCGCCTGACATCTGGCTGAATGAAGTCCTACAACTAGGGAATTAAAGAAGCCACTTTGACACTGATTGAAGGAGTGGAGATGTGGAACAGGCTGGTCCCACAACCACATGTGGCAGGTAAAAATTAGGAGGGTTATCTCTAGGCCTCTGTCTGTACTTTGGGTAATTAACTATGAATATTCTGGTTCTGTACACAGCATGAAGTTTCCACAGACAGCAATATTAGGCAAGGCAGAGTGTAGATGGATGCAATTCAGTGAATGCCAAAAAAACTATTTTTTTTAAAAAATTCCTTAATGGATAGGGACTTACACCCTGAGATTTTGTGTTTTTACAGTCTTTTCAGATACCCCCATAAGGTAAACACGGCAAGTGTTAGCCAGGTTTGACAATTCTGAGGCATAGAGAAGTGTTATTACTGTCCACAGCTCTCTGGTTACATGTTATGTCCATTTATGTTATTTACTTCTTGTCTCAGGAAAATTTACTTTTTTATTTTTGCCTTCCCTGTAAGCCTACATTCTGAAGCCCTTCTCAGGAACCTGACAGGAGTCACTGTTAATTTTCTCTGGCCACAGAAACTCAAGGTCCCTTCATGGCCTTGCCCTCAGTGGCAACCTCAAACATTTTAAATATCCATGAAATGGTTATGTCTTCATGGTAGGTTAAATCTTCCATGGTAAATATACTGGAAAAATATACTTAAAAAACGGCAAACCTTACGGAATGTGTACTTGGTCATAAGTTAAGAGACTTGGGGCCTTCACTCACTTGTGTGATCCTGTGCAAAGTACTTGGGTTTCCCTGCATGTCTAATGTTGACAGTTATGTACCCGAATTGGCACATTCCTCTCTGACATGCCTACCCTTGCTTACCAGGTAATGGAAAGGTTCTGACATTTTTATTCCTAAATGAAAAAGAAACATTCATTCCTAAATGAAAAAGAAACTTGCAGTTTGCTCCAGTGAATACAATTTCCAAAGTCTTGTCCAATGAGATACAAGTGTCAATAGTCTCACTGCACTGTAGTTCCTGGCTTCTTATTTAAAAGTTTTGGCTACATGAACCCTCACTGTGCAAATCCACACTAAGCTTAGAGGAGCCTTCTGCCATCGCACCTCACTGAGTCTATCTCTATGAAAGGAGAGCACTAACAATCAGCTTTTGTGTGAAGTTCCTATTGAGTAACTTTAGCTTTAGAACCTGGAAGATGCTAGACTGCATGCATCCAAGTCCCTGCAGCCTTGCCCTTCAGCGATCCCTCCAAGGGAGCTAAGATTCCTGCTCCAGGAACAGGGATAAAGGTACTTTCTCTACTCTCTTCCCCAGCTAAGTCTTTGTAGAATGACTGGCAGGTAGCTGTAAAGGAAATATTAATGAATAACAATAGTTTCATGACAATATTCTCTTTGATGCCAAGGGGAATCCTGTCAGCTCATACTTGGGCTCAGAGAGTGAAATCTGTCTTACCAGGCATTTGGATGGGTTCATGGTTCTTCACACCTAAAAATATCAATGAATATTGGTTACTGTTAATCAATTATCTTGCATTGTTAATTCTTCCTTTTTTCTATACGTCCCCCAACTCCAGCCCTTTAAAAAAGGGAAAAGAAAACAGTAACAACAAAAACACCTTTCAATGGCTCTTCATTCTCTAACTGGACAAAGCCCAAACTCCTTAACTTGAACTTCAAGAACTTCGTGATCTGACTTGTATGTCTCCAACTTATCTTCATAAGGCAGTCCTAGTACATCAGCTTTAAAATGAAATAGTACTAGGTATAAGACTCTTCTTCGTTTGGTTCTATTGTCATTATAGTTATTAGCTCTATGATTGCTCAGCCTTCTTAATCCCTCTGACCTTTAATTCCTATTTACGAAAAGGAAATCCTTACCTTGCAGGTTTGTAGTAAGTGATGATTAAAGGAAATATATCATGAAAGTGCTTAGTACACTGCATGAAATATAATAAGCACTCAATAAATGGAGTCCCTCTGTTCTGGCTTAACTCATTTTCCAAACTCTTCAAGTCCATAATGCTCTTAGTCCTAGGGGTTCTTGTGTCCGCTCCCACCCTTGTAGCTAGCCTCAAAAAGTAAGTAAAAAGTTTACCTACCAGGTAAGACAGTAGACTCCTGGCTTTTCATTCCTAAAGATGAGAATGGGAACCATTTAGTGGAAATGCACTTGGTTTGAAAATTAATTTAACTTATATTTACATGGCTATTTATGGAAAGCTCAAAAGATTTGAGAGATGGCAGGGGACAGAGTAAAGGAGAGAAGATTTAACCCACTGGAACCTGACTGACTTCTGATCAGAATAATGGCCAGTAAACCCAGGATCTCTCCCAGATTAAGCTCCTGTTGATTTTTAATTTTTTAGATTCAGGCCAAAGACTTCCAACCTACATGTGTCACGATGTATTTTTAAAAAATAAAATTTATTGATTATATAAGTCATACATTATAATTACAGATCATTTATAAAATATTAAAAATTACTCTTACTCCTAAATCTCAGTTACTCATTCTTAACATTTTTTGGTATATTTCCTTTCAGTCTTTTTGCTATGTATACATCCCCATCTTCAGCCCTTTAAAAATATATATTTTTAGCATATTTTCCTGTATTATTGAGATGTAACTGACACACAGCATTATATAAGTTTAAGGTAACATCATGATTTAACTTACATATATTGTGCAATGATTACCACAATAAGCTTAATTAACATCTGTCATCTCATACAGAAAAAGAAAAAATCAGATACAAAAAAAAACTTTTTTTCCCTTGTGGTGAGAACTTTTGGGATCCACTCCCTTAGGAACTGTCAAATACAGGAGTTGGACATTACATCCCCAGTACTTATTTATCTTATAATTGGAAATTTGTACTTTTTCACATTTTTTAATAAAACTGGTATTAGCCTCTACATGCCATTTTATATCCTACTAGAGGCCCGATGCACGAAAATTCGTGCAAGAGTAGACCTTCCTTCCCCCGCTGCTGGCACCGGCTTCCCTCCAGCACCCGGGACCCGAGCTTCCCTCCGGCACCCAGGACCTGAGCAACTTCCCTCCAGCCGCCAGCAGGCAGGCACCCGGGACCCGGGCTTCACTCTGGCCCTGGCTTTATCCAGAAGGATGTCCTGAATGATGCCCAGAAGGACGTCTGGTCTAATTAGCATATTACCCTTTTATTATTATAGATTTTTATTTGCCACTGTATACAAGCACTTTTTCATATTCTTAAAATATGTTTAAAAAGCAATTTTTAAGGTTAGTGTTTCATAATATGGATATAATTGTATTTAATATTGCCCACCTGTTGGACACTAAGGTTATTTATAAATTTCGACTACCATAACACTATGTAAATGTTTTTGTACACATTTTATACACAAATCTTTATGATGATTTCCTTGGGACAAATATCTAAAAGTGTTATAACTAGGTTAAAAGGTATGAACATTTTTAAAGCTAGTAATACATACTATCAAACTGTCTTTCAGAAAAGTTCCAATTTAAAATCTCACCAGTAATTTATGAGAGTGTTCCTATCTCAGCACTCTTGAGAACATTTGAATACTATCACTTAAAAAAAACTTGGGAATATACTAAATAATCAAAACAGATATAGCTAACAGCACCTGTTAGATTGCTGGAAGCAGAAATAAATATACAAAATCATAATTTTTACGTCAGAAAAAAATAAAGCCATTTTTAATGCCCCTGCCCAACATCCTAGGTCATAAAGAGTTTGTGGAATAATTAGTCACACCTCCCTCTATCCATGTAACTGCTAGCATAAAGCAGAAAATAATATGTTCTCAACTACTTCTTCAACTTCTCTACTGGGATGATCTAAAGACTATTAGATAAGAGACATAAAGAGAGCTGCTGTGTCATCTTTGTAAAGAAGCCTATCCGAAACTCAGGAAGGTCTCTGATATACCTAGTAAGCTAAACTAGTTCTCTTCCTACTGTTCCTTACCATGCCATGCCCATCTGCTCCCATCCGCTCCCATCCCTAAGGAGATGTCTTGCAAATGTGAAACCCAGAGTTTATGAAAATGTCTTACCAGGGTCTTCAAGCTTCTGTTTTTTATCACCTAAGTTACAAAAAGAAACTTTCCATTTTAACGATAGAATAAAATCATTGGAAGTTACTATAGTTATAACAAAATTATTTTCAGGTAATATGGCCATAAAGAACCATTTGGTAAATTTAAGTGTCAAATCAGAGTCTAAATGCACCTTGGCTAATTGGACTGGAACCTTCCTCTGGCACCTCAAGAAAAACCATCACACCTGGATGGTGCGGCTCAGTGGTTGAGCACAGACCCATGAACCAGGAGATCAGGGTTCAATTCTTGGTCAGGGCACATGCCCAGGTTGCAGGCTCAATCCCCAGTAGGGGGCGTGCAGGAGGCAGCTGATTGATGATTCTCTCTCATTGATGTTTCTATTTCTCTCTCCCTCTGCCTTACTCTCTTTGAAATCAATAAAAATGTTTGTTTGTTTTTTTAAAGAAAATCCTGGGGGATCTGAATGAGCTAGAAAAATGTCTGTCTGGAAGAGTTAGCTAAGGTCCCTGTGAAGTGACTAGTAAAAATTTTGGCTGCAATGGGCCAATAAGAAGTGTTGCCAAGCAAGTCCTCAGGTGCATTATATGCTTCACATCAGTACAGGAAATTATTTCCCAAAACATCAAGTAAATTGCATACCTAAGGAAAGGCCAGATACCTTTTTCTCTTCAATAAAGAAAATCTTATTGTAGCTACATGGGCCAAATACATAATAAAAAACTTAAGTGCACAGAAGTGATTTGGGCCATATCACTAGGAAACTCAGGGGAGAAAAACACCTAATCACCCAGATATTTTAGTCAAATGATACCAAACAGCATATTTGAAAGGTGCAAATGACTGACTTTTCTACTTTCAGCTAAATGGTATCTCAGGTTAATCTCAATGACTGAATACAGACCCTCAGGTCTCTCAAGACTGACTAACTCCTCAGGTCTCACCAACCTTATCTCCTAGAATGTTTCCATATTGTTCAGCTCTCTAGAGTGCCAACCCTCTCATTTACAGAGAGGCAAATTTCCCCAGAATAGAGTCTTTCCCCCCCCCCGCCCCCTCCCCCGCCTATATCTGCCAAGTTACTCCTTCATATCTGCAAAATACTCTTTTTCTTCAGCTAAGAATTGAATTTGTTAAATAAGAAAGAGCTACTAAATATCCATATAAGGATTATTTTTAAACATGAGAGCATACTTACCAGGGCTGGCAACATAGATGGGTAGAAAATATTCTGAAATACAAACATGTTTTCATTATATAGTACTATGCTCAGACATTAATGTCAGGTTTATTAATGATAAAAATCTGAGTTGGTTTATATTTTAAGATACATACAAAATATGGTGAGATGAGAACTATAAAAGTATCAGTCTTAAAAACAAATGGGTGCGGATTCATTTTAATTACATGAAGAAGAATTCATAGAAAAACTAGACAGGAAAGACAGCTAAAAACTTTTTAATAAGGAAATTTTCAAAAAATTCTACTCAATGCATGCATCAGCCCAAGGTATTTTCTGGCAACTTTGATTCAAATCTGTTGGGCCTATCTGATAATGCTATTCTTAAATATTCTTAGAATTCCTGTTTACCTACCCAAAGCTTTCCCATGATCCTCTAAGGAGGATTATCTTTTGTTACATCCTCCTATCTTTCCCTGAGGAAGCAGAGACAGACTGCATTGACATTCCGATCCTCCAGCTCTCACCTTGAGCCATAGTCACTCTATTCCTTCATTAGTATCCCAAAAGTTATTTCCTAAAATATCAAAACATAGGGTTATAAGTCTAGCTCTGTCAAGTAGGAGTCAAGTAGGGGCATTCAGGAGTCCTTACACTCCTGTAAGGATAGATTAGGGTGAGAGTGGAATGGTACTACATGCCCAAGATAAATGAAGTTTGACAGAAGAGCCACAGGCAAGGCTGTGGGTGTGGATAGGGGAGGGATGCCACCAGCAGAGACTCCTGGACTCCCCACTGCTAAAAGGTAGTAGCAGTAGCACAATTTTGCCTTGAGAAATGAAAGATGGCTGACAGCATGACAGTTTGGTCAGATGGCTCTGACCTGTACCTGTGAGAAATAACACTGATAAAATTCCCATTACAGAGATAATACTTTGAAGCATATCTTACCTATGTTCTCAACACAATTTGCCATTTTTAGACCTGAAACATAAAGATAAAGCTTTATTAGTTAGACACAATTTACCCTGCAGAGCCACTGTTCTGTGGCTATTAGTAATTAATCTGCCAGCTCCTGGTCCATCAGACCCATAACTTAGTGTTCATATTATGAACAATCACATATTTATATTCATATTACAGTCATCAAACAGCAGTATGATCTTTGATAAAACATCTAACATTTCTGGAATTCAGCTTCCTTATCTGGATCTTTTAGTGGGAGATTGCTTCAAATGACTTCCAAAGGCCCATCCAAAGCTAACACTTAATAATTCTATTCTATGATTTGTCTACAAAAGTTAGGAGAAAATTTAAGTATTTGTTCAACTAATCCTCTCTTCAGATATTAAATGTCCTTAACAGCAAACCTATCCTTTTACTGTGACAGTTCCTATCCATTGAAGAAAAAGAATCTCAATCAGAGCTTCAAGATCCTTGAATATATGAACAAAGATCCTTCACATGCATATGGAGACACCAAGTTGGTCTGCTCCAGAACACTGAACTGTATGGAAGGAGATCCACAGTTGTTGGGGAGCAGGAACATGGCATCTAATAGTATACTTTTATACCTTCTTGCCAGTGATGCCCTGCAAAAAATCATCAGTGCAGCAGTGATTCTGCCGAGACTTGACATAAAGGGGAATCTGCAGGCCTGCCCAACAGCAGTTAAGGCAAGAAGATCAGTAAGAGGGTGTTTAGATTTGGTGCCAGCATGAGCCATAGAGGGTTTCTCAGATGTCACAAGAAGGTCTAGGTGTCCTATGGCCTCTTCCCCATGCCGGGCTAACTCACTGATCTAATCAAGTTCAGTTATCAGTGAAGAAACTTCTCCAGCTAAGATGGGGGAGTTCCCCAGAGTCCTGGTTTCACTATGAGATGTGGTCTTCTATAATCTGCTATCCAAGCCTGCTCCATTTGTGGAGTTTGAACCAAGAACCCAGGTGACTTGCTGATCCAGGAATTAGTACAGATTTGTTAGAATCTGATGGTGCCCTGAGGCTAACCTTGGGTGTTTGGTAAGACTAGAAATTTAAAAAACAGTTCTAGAGACAATTATAAAATGTTGCCTCAGCAGAAGATAAGTGTGCAAGCCTTATGCAGAGGCTTAGTTGAGGGTTAGGTGAAGGTGAGGGAAATTGTGGATGACAAAGCTACAGATATGATAGATTCGGCCTGGGGACTAGGCATTGGAGGATTTTAAAAGCCTTTATCTTTTGACTGTAGTATAAATTAGAACATGTTTCTCAAAGTGTAGTCTTCCAATCACATACTTCAGAATCAGCTGGATGCTTATTAAAATTGAAAACTGCGGGACTCTAGCCGAGACTACTGATATAGAACTTCTGGTGGTGGTGCCTTATAATCTGCATTTTAAACAAGCACTCCAAGTGATTTTTATGCACAAAATTTTTGAGAGCTTCCTCAGTAGTACAGACTGGGTATCTTTTCTTATGCTTATGTATTTTATTGGAATTTCTGATAATTAAATTTTTTAAGTTTAAGGAGTACGGCATGATGGTTTGATTTACATATATTGTGAAATAATACCACATAGGTTCAGTTAACACCCCAGGATGGGTATCTTTTAATGTTTAACACAGTTCCATTTATTCAAGACTTCATTTCTCCTCCCTATTTGACTCTGGATTTAATTTTTTATTAGTGTTTTTAGCAGCAGGAAAGTAATCAAACTATTCTGAGTTTCTAAAGAAGTAATAGGATTAAAAATGGATGAGATTGATCCAGAAATAAACAAGAGAAGGCATAAATATTATATATAAGAATGATAAAAGGAATATAAGCATAGATTCGATAGGTGTGAAAATATATGAGTTACTGTGAATCAATTTGAAATATAAGACGAATAAGCAAATTCTTAAAAAGATAAAAAAATATCTCAAGAATAAACAGAAAAATCGAATGATATTATAACTATTAAGTAGTTTAAATTTTTTTCTACAAAGAATATACCAGGGTAATTTGGTTATTACATAGTACTAAAGAAGGGAGCTATTCAGAGCGAGAACCCTGGAGATCTTCAAAGGATTTCCCTTTGAAGTATTTGGCAAAATACTGATCAGCTTATATGTGTGAGAAATTACCCAAAGCCAGGGAAAGACCCCACAGGATTAAGAATAGTGCCTTTTCCCACAAAACAGACTGAAAAACCTGTAAGTTGACATTTTAGCAGGGAACCCTACAGTAAGAAGCCTGAAAATCAATAGTAAATTAAACCCTCCCAGGAGTTCCCTAAGAAATTACAGATGTCTGTGACCTAACTCATAGCTGACTGGTGATAATAAAACTACAGCAGTACTGCCCTGGTGGGTTTCTCAGTAGTTAGAGCGTTGGCCCCTGGACAAAAGGGTCCTGGGCTCAATTTCTGGTCAAGGGCACATACCTCGGTTGCAGGTTCCCCAGCCCCAATAGAGGCATGTGTAGGAGGCAACCAATCAATGTCTCTCTCTCATGTCGATGTTTCTCTCTCTCTCTCTCTCTCTCTCCCCTCCCCCCCCTCGTCTCTCCTTTCCACTCTCTAAAAATCAATAGAAAAAAATATCCTCGCTGCCGTAACCAGTTTGGCTCAGTGGATAGAGCATCAGCCTGCGGACTGAAAGGTCCCAGGTTCGATTCCGGTCAAGGGCATGTACCTTGGTTGCAGGCAGGCACATCCCCAGTAGGAGGTGTGCAGGAGGCGGCTGATCAATGTTTCTCTCTCATTGATGTTTCTGACTCTCTATCTCTCTCCCTTCCTCTCTGTAAAAAATCAATAAAATATATATTTAAAAAAGAAAAAATATCCTCGGGTGAGGATTAAAAATAATAGTAAAAATAAATAAATAAATAAATAAATAAATAAATAAATAAATAAAAAAAATATTTTTTTAAATGATCCCTTGTCACATTAAAATTTTACCTCCAACTAAGGGCCAAACCTGGTTCCTAAGGCCTTAGCCACTTTCACAAACAGGTGGCTGCCCATCTATTAGACCTGCAGTTTCTAAACAGTAGCAGAGGTGTCCCTGAATGCTAGATTAAATTCACAAGATACCAAAGGATATTTTAAAATTTCAAGATAAACATAGTCATCACTGATATCTGTCAGATACTGCATGAACTACTAGCTTGAGGTAGAATGCAGTTTCAAAGTTATAATATGTTACATTCTGTTTGATGATACATTTGCAAAGCTGGTTTTCTGTTTGATGATACATTTGCAAAGCTGGTTTTCAGCAATTGTTGTGATAAAAAGCAAATATATGTAAAAATTAACATGGATCAGGAAATAAGGTAGTGTCTAATCTAATTCCAAGGTTTAAGAAGCTGTGCAGTATCCAATAGGCATATACATCCCATTAGCAAATTATTATGGTTAAGAATGAAAGAATAGTACTTTAAAAAAATTGTGTGGAGGTGTGTTGGGGTCCAGCCCCAGCAGGTCCAGGGGTCCCTAAAGGTGTGGACGGAGTCGGCGAAGAAGGAATGACATAGAAGCAGCATTCAGTTGATCAGCATAGCAAGGTTCTCCCACCAGATTCTGTAGCCAAGTTCTGTCTAGGTTCTCCAGCCAAGTTCTGTGTCCACGTTCTCTTGCAAGGTTCTCCAGGTTCTCCAGCCAGGTTCGGTCGCCAGATTCTTTAGCCAAGTTCTATCCAGGTTCTCCCGCCATGTTCTGTCTAGGATCTTTTGCCACGTTCTCTCGCTAGGTTCTCTCTCTAGGTTCTGTGTCTAGGTTCTGTATTGGATCTCCAGCCAAGTCCTGTCTCTAGGTTCTGTGTCTAGGTTCTCTCTTTAGGTTCTGTCTCTAGGTTCTGTGTGGGATCTCCAGCCAAGTCTTGTCTCTAGGTTCTCTCTAGGTTCTGTGTCCTGTTGTCTTGTTACATCTGTATTTATACCAGTTGATTTTAATCCTGTCAATTTCTATTGCAAAGGTTAGGGCGTTTCTTATCTCCATTCCAGGGAGTAAAGATTATGTAGCTTAAGCGTGATTGTTTGTAGTTAAGGTGATTAACTACCCGCCTGGCACTTAGTTAAGGGGTTTTATCTCCTCCCTAACTTCAGGGAAAAATCCCTACCTGGGAAACAACCTTTCTCGGAGAGGTGACCTTGGTTAAAACACATAGCGCTAAGGGGAGCAAACATATTAAGAACAGTATGCTATATACGCCAGGTCCCTTGAAACATATGCTGTGAGATGTTTCTTTCCTGCAGCGACTGTGTCAAGCAGCAAGGATGGACCGGCTTCCGGCAGAGGTGGGCAAAAGAGGAGAAAATGGGGACATCTGTAATAGTTTCTACAATAAAAATAAAGTTTAAAAATTTCTGTGTATTCTTTTTTCAAACAGTTACTAAGATGTTAGGAAATAAATGCTTATTGAGTTGTTTGAATTTACCTAGTAAGTGGAACTTTGGTGTACTTCTTTTAGCCTAGGGACACTGAAATAAATTATGATAACACTAAGGAAAGGACCATGAACTGAGAAAGTCTGAAAACCTCTGCATTAGCCATTACAAAAGCCTTACCTACTACTTTACCCAAACTACTGACTCAATGGGGGCTATACCTACAAGACTTCACAACTGAAGACAGCAGAGACAACTGACAAAACAGCTTGTCCCCATGTTGGACAAATCCAATAGGAGGCTGCATCCATCCTATATAATAGAGGTAATATGCAAATTGACCATCATGCCCTCACACAAGATGGCCACCCCCATGTGGTCAAAGGTGGCCGCCTCCATGTGGCCACAAGATGGCTGGCAGGGGAGGGCAGTTGGGGGCGACCAGGCCAGCAGGGGAGGGCAGTTGGGGGCGACTGGGCCTGCAGGGGAGGAAGGACAGTTGGGGGGGGCAGGCCTGCAGGGGAGGGCAGTTAGGGGTGACTAGGCTGGCAGGGGAGGGCAGTTGGGGGCAACCCTGTGGGATCGGGCCTAAACCGGCAGTCAGACATCCCCCAAGGGGTCCCAGATTGGAGAGG